CATGCGGAAATCAAGGTAATATCCAAACGCGCAACCCAAAGGCTTTGGAGACTTTGTAAGCTGGCCTCAGACAGCCATGAATACAGCGCCAAGACGGAATATCTTCGATGAAAACTATCCTTTTCTTGCTTCGATATGTAGGTTTAGATGCATTCATGTGTCAGATAGTAAAAAACCTGTCATCCTATGGGTTTTTCAGTTCAAAACAAATATATCATGACCAGCAGTGGAGATGGGATGCCGTATGCAAGTGAGCATGGCCCAAATGATTAAATGCAGACAAATGGTTGAATAAATGTTGGTGTAAAGGGCTGCGTGTTGAACATATAACCAAGTAAAATAAAGCTAAATAGCAAAGACGAGTGCGCCCAAAATAAACGAGTTCACAGATGAAAATACACTGGGAGGGTCAAAATTTACTTCCAATAAAAATTTTTTTCTAAAGCCAGAGGATCTACATGATGCCCGCCTAGATTCAGATCGACTCAACATACGTCTAACTAAAAGAGAATTTGAAAAAAAAGAAAACAACTCACACGGCCTGACGAATCAGTCCATTCAAATGTCCGCCGCTCAACAGCACCAACTGGCCAAGGGCATTCTTGCCAACGAGACCAAGGGTTGTAGTGGCCGTAGCGAAGGGAGGCACCAGGCCACAATCGAGGCCGCCTAGTCCGTTTACGACGACAGGCAAACGTGTAGGGACGGAGGAGTTGGAGACGACAGTGGAAACCACTGGCGCGGAAGGAGCCGAGAAGGTAGATGAAGATAAAGGAGAGGACGAGGATATGATTGGAGCTGACGAAAGAGGTATTAATGTCGGCATTGACGGAAGAAGCTGTGTATGGAGTATTGACTGTGCCGGAAGTGTGGCGGATGGGCCTGGGGTATTTGGCAGAAGGAGAGCCGTCTGTGCTGCCAGGCTTACTAGGTTTAGGGAGCCAGAGTCCATGCGACGAGGAACGGACTCAGAAATGCTTGTTTCCACAGAATTCAAGGACAACCCAGCAGAAGAAAAAATTGGCTCTGGACAGGAGTTCGTTCGAGGACCAGGCTCTGGACGTACTTCAGCATAATCAGCCAATGATGCCGCAATGTCAGCTAGCTGGCGAAGACTTGAAGATGACTTGAGTAAATTAGAATCTGTCTGGTAAGTGGTGACCGTATCAGAGATAGTTTTAGGGGCCTGGGCTGTTGGTGGCGCACTGTTGGGGATAGGAGGAATGGTCTCATAAAGAGCTTGGCAGGAAGGATTGTAGGGCATGTCGGCCGTAGACGATGTCCCAGTGACAACGAGGGGAGGAAACTGGAGATCTCTGATGCTAGTAGAAGTGGCAGTAGGCGGGTGAGAAAGACTGTCGGCGATAGAGATAGAGGTGAGCGACCCGATAGAACTAGGCATGCTCGATGGTAGGGGCGAAGGATCACCAGGGCTAGAAACAGAGGCTGGAGACTGTGAGAACACCTCCACAGAGGGATCAGGAGCTGCCGATAAAATAGGAAAAGTGAGGCAATAATATCATATGAGCCTATGGTCGTATTGAAAGTAGGCAATGTGAGAGGTCTTAAGCCGGCTTCAAAGGGTATAAGGGTTACAGCTGGGTTAGTGAAAGTAAGTCAAAGAATATAAACGATAGGGAAAGCTAAATATTCAGAGTGAATGGTGAATGGACTACATTTCATCAATTTTAGCGTTACCATATAAACTATCTTGTGAAGTAATAATGTAGATTCTGCTCTATATGCAGTAGTAATAGCAGCATGAAGACATTATATGTATATATATATATATATGACTTGATGTTATTAGGGCTTTCATTTTGAAGGAAAAGTTGGCAAGGATGGATATGTGAATTGGCCTCACAGGGAACGGTAGGAATGCCGGTAGGAATGGAGTGGAGATGGTGAGATTGTGCGAAGTCTTTGACTCGCCTTCATGCGACCCCCGATTCGTCGGGGTTGGTGAATCCTATTTATGAATCCCTTCCAATCGCTTTCTCATTAGAAATGGAAAGTCGAGCCACATGAAGATATTATATTATGGGACGCGAAGCTGTTTTTTTCACCAGTGTAGTGTTCTAGATACTGTTGAGATTGACGCTGGCAAGCCTGTGCTTTAAGGCTTAAGAATCAGTTTTTTTAAAGCCTTAAGAGTGTAATTAGAACGTAAGCTTGTCTGCTTTCACGGACATGGCCGATTAATCTAAAAAAGTAGGTTACAACTGGTAAGGATGAATCCTTCTTTCTTAGCTGTTTAAGAGGTTGGCATGGGGAGATAATCTCCGGAATTATGTAAAAAGCAGAGTTGTTGTGACTGATGGAGAGATACATAGGTTGATCGAAGCCCAGTTAAACTT